CCTTTCTTCTCCAGCTTTCTCACATCTCTCAGAACTTCTTAGAATTGAAGAGAGTTAGGTCCTTGCTCTGGATTAGGCTTTGGCAGAAGAGGATGTTGTGACTGCTTTGATTTTCTATCCAAACCGCTAAAACTTTCTCCAGATCAGCAATAATGCAGTTCCATTTTCTAATCATTCTTATGCTCACTAGAGTAGCACTTTTAATTTCCTCCAAGAACTTTCCGTGTACATTCATAACCTGGCTAAGTGTTTGGTGCAAGAGGCCAAGCTTTCAGACTATCTCACCTTTTGACATGCCTTCCTCACTAAGCCAAATTGTTTCTAGTTTCTGATCTAAAGTGACAGATAGGTGAGTCTCCCAGTCACTTGAACAGTTAGAGGCTGTTCCAGGATTATTAATTAGTCTAATTGCAATACTGCTGTATGTCAGGGAATAGGGAGGCCTGAGGAGAGAGATGGGGAATGGTTGGTTGGTGGAGCAGTCAGAACCCACACAAGATTTATCAATTAAGTTCCATATATCATCTGGGCCTAAGTAGTTCATAGTCCCCCCCAAACAATTATAATACTATCAAAGATCCCTGATCACAGATTACCAAAATAGACATCACAATAATAAAAAAGTTTGAGAAGTGAGAATTATAAAACATAGCGGAGAGACATGAAGTGAGCACCTGGTAAGATAAATAAGTCTAATAGACTTGCTTGATACAGGGTTGCCACAAATCTTCAATTTTTACTTAAACATACACACACACTATCTGTGAAGTGCAGTAAAACAAAGTATGCCTGTGTTTTGCAAACTAATTAATAAAAATATTATATAAACCAATGTATGCAAAGTCCTGATCATTACTTTGGTCCATTATTGTGACACTCAGTAGGTGATACGCCTACTTCCAACCCTCTACTTTCTCAAGGTCTCAGATTCTATCTGGACAAACTACATGATAACCAGTCATACTTAATCCACGGGCAAATGATTTAAGAAGATACCAAGAAAAGCAAAAAGTAATAAAGAATAATTATACAGGGGAAGAGTAATGTGACTACACTCATCATATATATTAAATATCAACTGTAATAAGTGCCATGAATTTAATAATAATTTTTTGTGGACAAAAGAAAACTATCCATAACTATGAGATATACATGATTAGAGAACGATAAGAGGTAGAAACATGCAGCTCAGAGTCAAAGAAAAATGATACACTTAGTAAAACCTCCAGCATTCAAGGGACCTACATTGTGGAAAGGAAAGTGGTATTTGCCTCTTCTTTTTCCACTGCATATAAATATTAATTGAAAAAAAATAACCATCTAAAAATGCATGATAGTATCAGGTTTGGGAGGCTTAACTCCACACAGCAATGTGCTCAGTTAAAAGACAAAACATCCAGGCTCCTCGGCAGTTAGGTGTGGCCAGTAATGTGTAAGAGAAAATGAAGACAAAATTTGCAAGAAAACTGCTTTTCTTTCATCCTCTTTCTTCCTCATTTACACATAGAATATAGACAAACCAGCTGTAGTTCCAGCAGCCTTTGAATATGAGGTATTCATGAAAGACGACAGAGCAGAAAAAGAGGAAACGGAAAAGACATAGTTAAGGAAACTACCCCAGAACCTTGAAAGGAAGTAAGGAGACTAAGGAGAAAAATCAAAAAATAAAAGCATACAAACTAAGTTGTCTTTGGTAAACTTGCATTTCTTTTCTAAAAATACTACATGGGTAGACCTGCCACCATCTAGAAAATTCTGAGCATCAACAAATATGCATTTACCTTCTTAATAGAAGCACAAAACCAGGAAGGAAACACTTATTGAGCACTTTGTACCATTCTCTAGGAGAATCACTTTACATAATTAGAAACTTAAAAATAGGAATGATATATTATTTAACCTTTTAAATCCTTAATTGAAATAAATATTTAGAAAAAATAAGTCCTCAGTCAATGTTGAAAGAATGATGTCAATTTAAGCAATTTAAAATTATTAAAAATTTTTTTTTCAAAACTCTCGTTCATTTGTGCATTCATAATTATTGTTCTCCTACTATGAGTCACACATTGTCAAGAACCAGAACCTTTTTTCTTACCTTCTGTTGTTGGAAATACTTCTCCTTCAGTTTTAGCTTCTGCCAGTTTTCCAGTTCTCAGCAAAACTTCTGCAAAGCTTTCCACTGGGACATGCTGGTAAGCGTCATAGGTCCCTTCAGACTAGACAAAAGAATCAGTTTTACCATTTAGTAGCATCTTTTTTCTTTGAACATAATCCCAGAAAACACAATGAAAGGATTTTATGTCTTCTGGTCACCTGAATAACTTATATTATTTTATGTAACATTTTATATAGATTCTAATTTCACAATCAATCATAACACACATGAAATAAATTACATAAAACCAATGAATAACATGAGTAAGAACAAAGAGAAACACATTTTCAGGAAAATTTTAGTTTTTGTTACAGTATCTACAGAAGCAGGATAGAATTTTTAAATTTTGATGTAAAGCACAGCAGTTATCTACCTTACCTCAGTGACAAAGGGATTAGAGATGACAGATTCGTAGAAGGGATGACACCCTTGCCTTTCCAGATCTTTATTGGCTACAGTTCCGATGTGATAAGCACCACCAAATTCTTGCCCCTGAATAAAACAAAGTGAAGAACATTGAATAAAAGGAAAGAGACAGCAAGGAGGAGGAAGAGAGAGAGAGAGGTAGGAATAAAAGGCTCATTTCAAGAGAAGTTATCCATGTGTTTCCCATGACCTGAAGAGAGAGAGTCAAAGTGGCCCAGACGCCACGGGGAACGTGAGAGCAACGGCTATATTGTGAGAGCAGCACTTCAGCCCCGCCACGCAGTGCCTTTTGATTTCCTGGTCACTCTGACACCAAGGAATCAGAAACACGAAAGCAATCAGGGTTGTAAACACATTGAGTTTTTTACACTGCAGTCAGAGTCACTGGCCTAAATTTCATCTGTGTTGCTGCCCAGCTTTACAATCTAAACCATGTAGAGTAACATTTTAGGTTACTAACTGTTAGTTAACACTAAAGGCTAACTCTCCACTCAAACCAAACTGCCCTGTGTTATGCGACCTATCAACCTCTGTGCTCTTCTCTCACCGCAAGGGGCCTGCCACACTGACTGCCTGCTTAGGCCCCATCTTTCCTGCCAGGCCCCACTCAGACCTCACCTGCTGAAACTCTGCCAGGTCAGAGCAAGATGACATGATTATGCTCCTTTAATTATCTCCGTCTCCTTCCCAACTGCCACTCCCACGCAGGCCTTGAACACTTGTTATCAGCATTTCTGATTAGCAAGCACTTTAGAGAATCTCTAGTATATGGTTAATTATCTTTATGTCTTTTTCTCTCCAAATAGGCTGTAAAGTTCCTTACTGGAGGAGCCACGTAAAAGACATTCACTCACTCTCCAAAGTTGATTGTGCACTTACTTTATGCCAAGCATAGTCTAGGGAAACAATGAACTACTGCTATAAGTGAGGATAAAAACTGCAGGTCACTTTAATAAAAATTATATATTAGGTATCGTGGTAAATACTTAAGACATAAAGCTCCCCCCACCATATAACATGTGAGACATAAAAATAACCATAATCACAATCCAGTGTGATACCTGAAGTTGTAAGTGATAGATACACTTACCCCAGGTCAAATACAAAGCCTCTCAGGTAATGCTCACTTCACTTACCCTGCTGTTGGAACCATTGTGCTTAGGTCTCCTCTTTCCCATCTATCCCTCACCCAGACCATCAACAGAGCCATAGAATTTGCCTCCAAACCACCCACTTCCCACTTCCTTCACAGGTTCCCTAATCCACATTCCACCATCACTGACCTGGAGAACAGGACAGGTCAACTCCCTGCCTCCTTGCTTATGCTCCCCAACTCCCCACAGGCAGCTCTCTGTACAGCAGTTAAGTGATCTCAGTAAAAATAAAGATGGATCACAAAACAGCTTTACTTAAATTCTCCAAAAGCCTTCCACCTTACTCAGAACAAATTCTACAGTGGTTATCACCACCTCCGTAAGGCTTTAAAAGACCAGCCTCCCCCCCAGCACTCCGACCTGTCTCTGACCATCCTCTCCAGGGTTCACTATGCTCAGACCGCACTGACTCCCTGCGTGTTGGGTGCAGATGTCAGGCACACTCCCCTGCCCGGGGCTTGGCACTTGTTCTGTTTGGCTCAATCATTATTTCTGCTCAAACTGACCGCTTTTCTGAGAAACCTCACTTCTCTATTTAAACCAGAACTTGACTTCCCATACCATCATGATTCATTTATCTTGGGTCAAGTATCTTCATAGCGCTCAATACTACTCACCAACAAATTATTATACAAATATTTTGTTGCCTATGTTTCCCCCATTGAAATATAAGTTCCAAAGGGGCAGAGATTAGACTTAAGTGGTTCTCACTTTATTACTAGTAATTAGCACAGTATTTGACATATAGGAAATACCTAATAACCAGGCACAACGGCTCACACCTATAATCCTAGCACATTGAGAGGCCAAGGCAGGAGGATCACATGAAACCAGGAGTTTGAGACCAGCCTAGGAAATATAGCAAGATCTTGTGTCTACAAAAAAAAATTTTTAAATCAGCCAGGTGTAAGCTCAGAGCCTATAGCACAGTGGTTTTGGCGCCAGCCACATGCACCAAGGCTGACGGTTCGAACCCGGACCAGGCCAGCTAAACAAGGACAACTGCAACAACAACAACAAAAATAGCCGAGCGTTGTGGCAGGCACCTGTAATCCCAGCTACTTGGGAGGCTGAGGAAAGAGAATCTCTTAAGCCCAAGAATTAGAGGTTGCTGTGAGCTGTGACACCATGGCACTCTACCAAGGGCAACATAGTGAAACTCTGTCTCAAAAAAAAAAAAAAAAAGAAATTACCTAGGTGTAGTGGTGCCTGTCTGTAGTCTTAACTCCTGGGGGTAGGGAGGAGGTGAGTTTGAGGTTACCCAGGATTTTGAGGTTACAGTGTGCTATAATTATACCGCTGCACTCTAGTCTGGGTGATGGAGCTAGACAATGTCTCTAAAAAAGTTTAAAAAACAAAGCCTAATAAGTATTTGCTGAATGAATGACTGAGATACTCAGTGAGTATTTTAAGTGAACTGACAAACAGGCATCTATTTCTTTTTCCGCTTTGCTTTCCAGTGTGAGGCTACAGGGCTGCAGTATGAGAAAGCAGCGAAGACAGCAGGGGAGTGATGGGTTAAGGCATCCTAGAAAGCAAACTTCTCCTAGTCTACACTTCCCAGAGGGAAACAAGAATACGGTACACCAGCTCCTTCCTCAGAGGCCCCAGGCGGGCTCCTAGCACTTCTGCTCAACTACTAGCCTACAGAAATACAGCAAAGGCAAGTAACCATCGATAAAACCACTTTTCTTTTCATCTCACTAAATTTGAATATTGATTTTTAAACCAAGCTTTACCTAAATCTCTATTAGTGTCCTTTGCTAGTTCTCCTTGGTAGTAGAGTCTATAAACAGATTACTCATTCTCCATCTAACAGGAGGCCGACATTTCTTAAGGATCATTTTAATACTCTAGAGAAGATAAAGATACAACAGCGAAAACACTAAGGAGCAGGGCTACTGAACTGGTATAAACCGCACAATTGGTGGTTAACAGAAGGGTGCACTGCTCACTTGCAGGGGCCGAAGGTAAGTTAAAGACTTCTTCCACCACTGCCCGTCGCTGACGGCCTGCAGCACTGCCTTGGTGGTGGTCGTCGTGTTGGAAAGCACTTTCATGGTGGTAGCAGTGGTCCAGTGTAACAGGTCAGCTGAACTGCGACCTAAAACACCTGCTTCATCCTATGTGAAAAAATTAAAAAAATTAAATGGCAAGAGCAAAAACATGCATTGTCACAAGAACAGAAAACAGAGAGTGATAATGTGACTGCTTAAAGTGATCATACGTTAGATATGAAGAAAACTGAAAAATCCAACTTTGCTTTTCATAAGTATGAAATAAAGCACATTAATATTAGCATATTGTTCTTCCTTGAATCGTTTGCAGAAAAAAATCAAGAGAAGAAAAAATCATTACAGTGCATTAGTTACATAATCCCTTTTAGAGACATTATAAAACAAATAATGGATTCTTTTTTTTAATCCATCTACTATCCCAACAATAAGATACTCATGTTTGCTTCTTTGATAACCTATTTTAAAGTATGTATTATTTATAGTAATTAAGAAATAAATTATTAACTTGAATAATGCTTGCTACTGTCACCCAGACAAAAGTAGACGATTCAGATAATCCACCTTTAAACGCGAAAAGGCATATTTTCCATCCAAACAAGTAGATAATTGTGTTTAAAAGGTTTGTAATGTGGAACCTCCTACCACTCTTAAAGCAATCAGCAAAAATTCTAACTCTCCATTTACTACTCAGATTTTCATGAGAAGAAAGTGCCAATACATTAAACAGTCTTAAACAAAAATAACAAAGACAACATCTATATTTAGTCAAAGAAATATATCACTTGTATGAAAATAAAATTATCAATTTAGTATTCATCTGCTACTTATTTCTTAAGTATCCCAGCTAAATGAAAGAAAAATTAAGGCCTAGTCTTTCAATGCCAATAGTCTTCTTGCAACTGACAGGTAACTTAGCTGATAGCTTAGTTTGTCCATTTAGGTCTATATTACATAATTACATCATTCATTAAGACACTAAGTAAGTATTATAATAACAAGATGATAAATCATATAATCACTCAGTAATTACCAGGGTATCATCACATAACAAATACTTGAACAAACATACTCTTCTAGGTCAACTGAAAGGTAGCTAGAGAGGTGGACATGAGTCCCAAACATGTCCAAATTCTAATCCCTGGAACCTCTGAATATGTCATATTTACCTGGCAAAGGAATTTTGCAGATATGATTAGGACACATACTTGAAGGTGGGGAGATTATCCATAATCATCTGAGTGGGACCAAATCCTGTGAGCTCTTAAAGCAGAGAACTCTTTTCAGCTAGGGTCAGAGAGACAGTGGCAGACTGAGGCCACAGAAGAGGCAGGCGAATTTTGAAGCAGGAGGGACTCAACTCCTAGTGCTGGCTTTAGAGACGGAGGAAGGAGCACACCCAGGGAGTGCAGGCAGCCTCCAGACACTGCGGACAGCCCCCAAGGTAATACAGATAGACCTCAGCCCTGCAGCCCTGTAATTAAACTCTGCCAACACTGTAAATATGGAAACAGGTTCTCCTCCAGAGGTCCCCAAAAGAACACAGTCTGGAGGGCACCCTGACCGTGGGACTGAGCCTCAGCCAAGCCTGCCAGATTTCAGTCCTATGGGAACTGTGAAATAAACAATTGCATTGTTTATAGCTGCTAAGTTTGTGGTAATATGTGGCGGCAGCAACAGAAAATGAATGCATTGCATGGGATGCTTAAATAAATATGTATTTTATTCCTACTTCTAAAAGGGAAATATATTTAAGCTTTATTATCTAATCCTTATAATTGACCTAAAGTACTATTGTTTAAGGTTCCCCATAATTATTACAAATTGCTTTTAACATGCTAAAAAAGTTTGGGTTCATGAGTTTTTTGGACATTAAAAATGCATAAACCGCCAATTCAATGCAATATCATATATTATAATTTAATTACTAAAACATAGAAATAATGGATGGCATATTAATAAAGGAGCAATCGTGTTAAATTATTTGTATACTATCAGGGCAACCATGCAAAAAATAATGATTTGGGGTTTCAGTACCAATAAATATAGCACCTCTCCTGGGTTTCAGACTGTGGATACTGAGCTTGGCTCACTCAACCCTAGTCTGAACCCCTTCAATACTGTCTCACAGGTGCTAAAGTTGGGCAGCTGACGACCGCATTTCCTAGCCTTCCTTCTAGCTGGCCTTCCACACGTGACCTGGTTTCTTCCATTGCAGTAGTCAGCAAAGGTGCTCGTCCTTTTGTGGAGGAGAGACAGAGACACAATCAAAGACTGAAACTCACTGGCACACTTCTGAAAGCTAAGGTAGTAAGGCCAGAGGGGAACAAGCCCAACTCTCCCTTCCACAGTAGTAATAACGGTCACTGCCCCATCCTGATGCTTGCTACACGGCAGGACTCTACCAAGTGCTTCACATGCATATTGGGGTGTAAAAACAAAAAGCAAAAACTGCGTTAGTGGTGGCATTATTGGCATCTTTTCTTTCCTTACAGTCCCATACAAATGGGGTGTCAGGGACAGTTTGCCTTTTCATGTCCCTCTGTCCCCCATTGTTTTGTGACTGTTAATTTTTTTACCATTTGAGGAGCTGGCAGTGAAGGACCATTTCTTCTCCACTCTCCAGGAAACACAGTGATTAGCTGATTTATGAGGTTTGACTAAGAAACAAAGCACACTGATTGTAGCTCCTGAGCTCCAGAGGCCTCCTTTCTGATAAGGTCAGCCAAGGAGCTTCCTATGTAACACAGTGGTGTTGATGTTACGTCCAACTCCTATCCTGCAACACGGGCCGGGCCTCTTTCCACTGGACAGATTGTCATGGTGCACATAACCACCAACGCATGCCTTTCTGTGGGATACTAAGAGCCTTGGAGACCAAATTAATATATACTCTGATGCTTTCTGCTTCTAGGATTCTTCCCCTAATAATGTCTGCATGGAGTGGGACTAGTAATGTATATCTTAAGCCCCAGGAATAATTCTTCCAAAATAGTTCTTTGCCAGAAACAAATTTCAGAAGGAATTTGAGGTAAACATATATTCTCTTTCTCGGTGTATATGTAAAATACAAAGTAAGCATCTCAATTTATTGGTTATACTTTTGAGTTACTTAAAAATCTGTAAATGGAAAAACAAAACCACTTAGAACTCATTCGAATCTTCACTCTCACTCCATGTTGTGCACTATTCTAGGCAATGAATGACAAAAATGAGTAAGGCACAGGTCTGCCTTCAAGGAGCTCGGAAAATAGGAAGGGAAGCAGAGAGGTGAGAAATAATTACAGACTAAAGACAACTTCTGTAAGAGAGGTACATACACAGCGCTATGAGACCACAGGAGAGATCATATCGCCTCTGAATCGCTGCACAGAAAAGGTGGTATTTCAGCAAGAAAGAATTTCAGGCTTCCAGAGGGTGAAGATCAACCTTCTCAAGGAGAGGGTGGAACTTATGAAACACGGCAAACCGGGAAGACCTTAAGTGATTCAACAAAGTTATAGAAAAGAGCACAGGAAGAGGCAGAGCAGGGTGCGAGGATGAAAGGAGGGCAGAGGCGAGCCCAGCGAGGTTCCCACAAACCATGCCACACAACCTCCTGCCTCGTCCTGCAGGAAGGAAGAGCCACTGAGGGCTCTAAACAAAGGAAGTAAAATAATATCACATTGGTGTTTTAGAGAGATTATGCTAGGGGCAGGAATGTTACCCCAAGTTTAAAATAATCAGGGAATGAACTCAGGTAGTGACGCTGGGAATATAATGAGGTATAAGGCATCTTCCACCTGCATGTAAAATTAAGTTTAAGTGTTTTTATTTCTAATCTGTCTAAAGGTGAAAAGGGCGTGAGGTAACTCAGATAAGCAGAGAAATTCAAGGATTCTGCATCCAACCACCTGACAAAGAAAGTACACTATCACCAAGCTGGATCTTTGAGAAGATCTAGGAGGGGATAAAAGGAAGAAAAGTCAAGAATACAGGCAAACTCTAATGGTTTATTAATCAAAGTTAGATGCAGTAGATATTTAAAAAATGAGCAAAGCAAGCTGCGGAGGAAGAACTAAGTAAGAGAAGAGGAGCTTCAGGGAAAGGAGCAGCAATGGTCTAGAAGACACATGTTTACCAACAGTAAAGTCTAGGAGACACGTAAGAATCAGACTGGCTACTATTTATTAAATGCCTACTCTGTAAGCTAGGTGCTTCATACCGTCACCCTTCAATTTCACCATAACGCTGCTGAGGACGTATTCGAATACTGACACCAAGGCAAACGGAGGTTCCACTAAGTTGAACAGTGGGCATCACCTCCCTTCTCCTTCACAGATCTGGCTGTCAAAATGTACAATCCACTTGTCCTTTGAAGGATTCTGACACACTGGCAAAATCACATACGCACACACACAAACATTTATATATGCATTTATTTAAGTTCATTTTTCTGTTATTAAACTAATACAAACTCACCAAAGATGGTTTGAAAATTCAAAAAAGGACAGGAACAAAAGGACAGTATTTAGTGGCAGTCCCATGATACAAAGACAATTACTGCCAGCATATTTTCTACCTTCATGTCTTTAATCCAGGCATAGTGATTTTTTTAAATAAGTTTTTTATTGAAGTATGTGTGTAAGATACATTAAAGAAGTGTAAGGGTAGGGTTTGATACATTTTAACTCACTTATGTAACAGCCCTCACACCAAGAAACCACAGAACCAGAATTGCTGAAGTCTCTCTTGCACACACGTCTAGCCACTAACACTGCCAGAATAAATACTATCCTGACTTGCAGCAGTGTAAATTAATTTTGCCTATTTTTATACTTTATATGAAAGGAATTATGTACTCTTTGTGACTGATTTCTTTCACTCAGTACAAATTCATTCGGACGTGTCAAGTATTGGAGATTATTCAGTTCATTGCTATAACATGTTATGGTATGGGATACATCACAACTTTATCCTTTCTACTACTGATGGACATTTGGACGGTCTCCAGTTTGCAGCTAATATCAATACTGCATCCCTGAAAATGCTGGTAATTATCTTTTGGTGAACATATGATGCATTTAGGGGCATGTACCTAGTAGTGAGATTGCTATCTAAAGTGGTTA